AAGATTTAGGAGTTCTGGTTAGAGTAATCTGAAACCAAGACAACAGTGCATAAGTGTTCGCAATAAAGCTAATAGAATCCTTGGCTTCATATCAAGAAGCATAAATAATAGGAGTCCTCAGGTTGTTCTTCAACTCTATACATCCTTGGGTTAGGCCTCATTTAGATTATGCTGCACAGTTTTGGTCACCGTATTACAGAATGGATATAAATTCTCTGGAAAATGTACAAAGGAGGATGACAAAGATGATCCCATGTATCAGAAACCTTCCCTATGAGGATAGACTAAGGGCCCTGAAACTGCACTTCTAGAAAGACGTAGAATTAGGGGGGATATGATTGAGGTGTATAAATGGAAGACAGGATAAATAAAGGGATGTAAATAGTGTGCTGAAAATATCTAGCCTAGACAGGACTCGCAGCAATGGTTTTAAGTTGGAAAAATTCAGATTCAGGAAGGATATAGGAAAGTACTGGTTTGGTAATAGAGTTGTGGATGAGTGGAACAAACTCCCAAGTACCGTTATAGAGGCCAGAACGTTGTGTAGCTTTAAAAATAGGTTGGATAAATACATAGTAGATGTGGGTGGGTGTGAGTTAGACCTGATAGCTTGTGCTAACAGGTCGGTTGCCGTGTTCCTCCTTAAGTCAATGTGACCTGACCTGACTAGGTTGGGTGCATTGGCTTAAGCCGGTAGGAGACTTGGACCTGCCTCGCATGGGCCAGTAGGCCTTCTGCAGTGTTCCTTCGTTCTTATGTTCTTATGTTCTTATATATATATATATATATAATATAAATTATATATATATATATATATATATATATATAAAATATATATATTATATTATATATATATATATATAAAATATATAATATTATATATATATTACGTATATATATTTTTTTTATTTATTTATTTATTTATATATGAACTTACTCTGCCATCGGTAGATGATGTGTGTTTGCTTATGTTGGCTGTGAGTGGCCAGGCGTGTTAGAGGACTCAGTGCTGACCCCTAATTGGTCCAGAGGTGAGCATTCTAGAGAGCCTTGAGCGTTCTAGCCACTACAGTGTTTTCACTATCATCTCCCAGAATAACAATGTACACAGTGTTTGCGTGGTTGTAGATACCTTGCTTATAGTCTCAGAGATAACAGCAGAGTTGTCACCAGGACCTCACTCACTGTTATGTACTCCTTTGGTACAGAGCTCCTGCTGCTGTGGTTGTTCTGTTGTAACCTCTGTAACCTGCTACAGCAAGACTGGATGCCATATAAGAGGACTGTAGGTTACTACAAGAAGAATATAGGTCACTACAGTAAGACTGTAGGTCACTACAGTAGGACTATAGGTCACTACAATAAGACTATAGGTCACTACAATAAGACTATAGGTCACTACAATAAGACTATAGGTCGCTACAATAAGACTATAGGTCACTACAGTAGGACTATAGGTCACTACAGTAGGACTATAGGTCACTACAATAAGACTATAGGTCACTACAACAAGACTATAGGTCACTACAACAAGACTATAGGTCACTACAATAAGACTATAGGTCACTACAGTAGGACTGTAGGTCGCTACAGTAAGACTATAGGTCACTACAGTAGGATTATAGGTCACTACAATAAGACTATAGGTCACTACAATAAGACTATAGGTCACTACAACAAGACTATAGGTCACTACAACAAGACTATAGGTCACTACAATAAGACTATAGGTCACTACAGTAAGACTATAGGCCACTACAGTAGGACTATAGGTCACTACAATAAGACTATAGGTCACTACAACAAGACTATAGGTCACTACAACAAGACTATAGGTCACTACAATAAGACTATAGGTCACTACAGTAGGACTGTAGGTCGCTACAGTAAGACTATAGGTCACTACAGTAGGATTATAGGTCACTACAATAAGACTATAGGTCACTACAATAAGACTATAGGTCACTACAACAAGACTATAGGTCACTACAACAAGACTATAGGTCACTACAATAAGACTATAGGCCACTACAGTAAGACTATAGGCCACTACAGTAGGACTATAGGTCACTACAATAAGACTATAGGTCACTACAACAAGACTATAGGTCACTACAACAAGACTATAGGTCACTACAACAAGACTATAGGTCGCTACAATAAAACTATAGGTCACTACAGTAGGACTATAGGTCACTACAGTAGGACTATAGGTCACTACAACAAGACTATAGGTCACTACAGTAGGACTATAGGTCACTACAATAAGACTATAGGTCACTACAGTAGGACTACAGGTCACTACAGTAGGACTATAGGTCACTACAGTAGGACTATAGGTCACTACAATAAGACTAGGTCACTACAGTAGGATTATAGGTCACTACAATAATACTATAGGTCACTACAGTAGGACTATAGGTCACTACAACAAGACTATAGGTCACTACAGTAGGACTATAGGTCACTACAGTAGGACTATAGGTCACTACAGAAGGATTATAGGTCACTACAATAAGACTATAGGTCACTACAGTAGGATTATAGGTCACTACAATAAGACTATAGGTCACTACAGTAGGATTATAGGTCACTACAATAAGACTATAGGTCACTACAATAAGACTATAGGTCACTACAGTAGGAGTATAGGTCACTACAATAAGACTATAGGTCACTACAATAAGACTATAGGTCACTACAGTAGGATTATAGGTCACTACAATAAGACTATTGGTCACTACAGTAGGACTATAGGTCACTACAATAAGACTATAGGTCACTACAGTAGGACTATAGGTCACTACAATAAGACTATAGGTCACTACAATAAGACTATAGGTCACTACAGTAGGATTATAGGTCACTACAATAAGACTATAGGTCACTACAATAAGACTATAGGTCACTACAGTAGGACTATAGGTCACTACAATAAGACTATAGGTCACTACAGTAGGACTATAGGTCACTACAGTAGGATTATAGGTCACTACAATAAGACTATAGGTCACTACAGTAGGACTATAGGTCACTACAGTAGGATTATAGGTCACTACAATAAGACTATAGGTCACTACAGTAGGATTATAGGTCACTACAATAAGACTATAGGTCACTACAGTAGGATTATAGGTCACTACAATAAGACTATAGGTCACTACAGTAGGACTATAGGTCACTACAGTAGGATTATAGGTCACTACAATAAGACTATAGGTCACTACAGTAGGACTATAGGTCACTACAGTAGGACTATATGTCACTACAATAAGACTATAGGTCACTACAGTAGGACTATAGGTCACTACAATAAGACTATAGGTCACTACAGTAGGACTATAGGTCACTACAATAAGACTATAGGTCACTACAATAAGACTATAGGTCACTACAATAAGACTATAGGTCACTACAGTAGGATTATAGGTCACTACAATAAGACTATAGGTCACTACAGTAGGACTATAGGTCACTACAGTAGGATTATAGGTCACTACAATAAGACTATAGGTCACTACAGTAGGACTATAGGTCACTACAATAAGACTATAGGTCACTACAGTAGGACTATAGGTCACTACAGTAGGATTATAGGTCACTACAATAAGACTATAGGTCACTACAGTAGGACTATAGGTCACTACAATAAGACTATAGGTCACTACAGTAGGACTATAGGTCACTACAATAATATAAATGGTTCAGAGAACCAACAAGTTGATAAATTAGACACAGTATTGATGTACTTAACTACTGCACATGTGTCTTACTTATCAACCTGGCGGTACACATTATGAGAGTTGAAAATTTCAATCCAATAGGATGAGAAGTTCTTGAGTTATGAGCGAAGGAAAATCGAAAAATTGGAGGAGGGAAACGAAATGGGAAAAAATCCAGGCAATCACTTAAAGTTTTCCCTTCGGGGATACCTAATTAAGGCATCTATAATCATTCCAAAAATATTTTCGGAGGGAGAGCCTCTTCATACAGGAACTAAAATTTAAATAGAATAGTTTTACGTGAAAAAAAATAAGAAAAATGGAGTCAATATTTTGTTTAAGGGGTAACTATAAAAACTTCATCAAACTGCAATATAGTCATTTTTTTTTAATTAACACTGACGCCCCATGGGTTAGGAATCTATTTTGGACTTGGCTAACACATCAAGTTGCCTAGAAATATTGTATTCAATGGAGCTTTAAATTGTAATTTTTTTGGTCGGTATCTCAGTTTTTTTTTCCTGTGATCACAATGACTAATTTAAGTCAGCTTCTACGAGCACTTTGGCTGTAGCTGTTTTGACCACTGTAGTATTAATGGAAGACTATTTTGACCACTGTAGTATTAATGGAAGACTATTTTGACCACTGTAGTATTAATGGAAGACTATTTTGACCACTGTAGTATTAATGGAAGACTATTTTAACCACTGTAGTATTAATGGAAGACTATTTTGACCACAGTAGTATTAATGGAAGACTATTTTGACCACTGTAGTATTAATGGAAGACTATTTGGACCACAGTAGTATTAATGGAAGACTTTTGACCACTGTAGTATTAATGGAAGACTATTTTGACCACAGTAGTATTAATGGAAGACTATTTTGACCACAGTAGTATTAATGGAAGACTATTTTGACCACAGTAGTATTAATGGAAGACTATTTTGACCACAGTAGTATTAATGGAAGACTATTTTGACCACAGTAGTATTAATGGAAGACTATTTTGACCACAGTAGTATTAATGGAAGACTATTTTGACCACAGTAGTATTAATGGAAGACTATTTTGACCACAGTAGTATTAATGGAAGACTATTTTTACCACATTAATGGAAGACTATTCGTGATGTAATGGTTAAATTTATTACTAAAGACTAATTAAGTGTCACATATAAGAAAGTTCTATGTTAGTTTGTTCTATATATATAGATTTACACCTTCTAATCTTGGTGTAATTTATGTATTTATGCGGATCTAATTTTTCTTTACAGATGCCCAGAAGAAATTTCAGAAGAGTGCCAAGTAGAGACAGAAGAACAGTGCCACAACTGTGCCCTTTAGTGTTCAGTATCTTTCTTAGTGTTCAGTGTTCTCTGAGGCGTTAACTAAATTTTTTATAACTGGCCGTAATTTTTAAGGAGGTGGAGCGGTAAGCCAGTGGAAGGCCTCGGTCAGATGACCAAAAGCTCCAGCTGCAGGTCATCATATGACTAAGACTCGCACCAGTAAACACCTGTCCTGTTTCCTGGAGAACTTTACCTAACCTAACATGATGTGCTGATGATTACATTGATCTAATAGTGTTTTGTCGACAGGTGTACATATATATATATATATATATAAAAATGTTAGGAACATTTGTGTTTTGTTGGTGTGCGTGAGACATGTTAGTGGTGCTGCCGCGGTCACTTCCAGTGGTGCTGCCACGGTCGCTTCCAGTGGTGCTGCCACGGTCGCTTCCAGTGATACGTCGACAGTCACTTCCAGTGGTGCTACTGCGCTCTTTTGCAGTGGTGCTGCCACGGTCCAACTTAAAACAATGTTGAAAATTACCATAACGGTGGTTCGTTGTTAAGAAATGTTCTGAGGTCTCCTGATCCCTTGTAGCCTCAGGTCTCTGCCCTGACCTCCACCGTGGAGGCAACAAGAGGCACTACACTGCCTTGACCTCCACCTTGGAGGCAGCGAGAGGCACTACAAAGAAGGTCCAGCCTTGCATGAGTGCCTCAAGACTCGTCTGAGGTCCTGTAGTGAGTGCGTGGACAAGGGAGTAAGGAAAGAGCCACTCTCATACGGTGCTTCATTTCTGTATTTGCTCAATGTTATCATCCTGGTAACGAGAATCAAAAAATATTCTCACTAGATGCGCAGGTGCTCAACCCTTTGTGTGTGCACTTTCCTGTTATCCCCAGTGCACCTAGCAACGAGATATAAAGGCACACCTCGGCAGGGTAAAGCGAGAGTGCACTAAACATCATGTGAATGCACCAGGGAGTGAGGGAACACGAGAGTGCACCCTGGCTTTAAGACAAGACGTGATTTTGAGAAGGCAAGACGGAGAGCCGTGACTGTATCAGGCGACAGTGCACCAAGCAGCAATGCAACAACTTGCAGTGCCACAGGCAGCAGTGCACTAGACACCAGTGCATCAACCAGCCGTGCACCAGAGAGCAGTGCACAAGACAGCAATGCAATAGGCACAAGTGCACGAGGGAGCAGTGCAGCAGGCACAAGTGCACCAGGACGCAGTGCAGCAGTCAGCAGGGAGAGCCGTGAGGTGCAGGAAGCAGCAGTGAGTGCAGCAGGCATCACGTGGAGCCGTGAAACTCACGGCTCCACTATGCATCGTGGGTCCCGGTGAAGCAGTGCCATGGCCAGCCTGGCCGTGGGTTGAAGTGGCCCAGGTGTGTCATGGATGCTGGCCCCTGGCGTGGAATCAGAGACGCCATCTTGCGCCTGTGGACGCGGCGGGACGTCCCCAGGAATGACGCCAAGGACGCCCAGGCGTCCAACCCCACGGACACGGTGACAGCGGCTGTATCTACCGTGTCGGACACCAGTCTACCCCCACTCCCGGTCCCCGCCCCGCCCACCATCACCACCCAGGGCGCCACCAGGACGCCCACCCTCCGTCTAAGGGCCCCGGGGGAAGCAGCGCCCCTGGAGGAGACGGAGGACGGGGAACTAGAAGGAGATACCACCGTGTGCAAGGCCCAGGAGCAACTAGATACCCTGATACGTAACCGTGGGTACCTAGTGAAGGAACACGTACCCAGGAAGGTACTGGAGGGGCAGGTGATGGAGAACATACGCAGAAGGGAGAGGATTGCTAAAATCCTTCGTCAGGAGGAAGTGACACTGACCATGGTGCCCGTCAACCCCGCCCTCACGGTGGCGGCTGCCACCGCCGCCGCCCACGCTGCCGTCGCCAACAGGGAACCGCCGCCGCCAGAACATCCTGAGAGGTCAGCTGAGATGATGAACCTACTTACTAAGGTGAGTACCTCAGTGCTGACCTCAGTGCTGACCTCAAGGCTGACCTCCCTCCACCTCAGACTCTTCCTAGCTGACCTTCTCCTAGCTCAGTCTTCCTAGCTGACCTCCTAGCTCAGTCTTCCTAGCTGACCTCCTAGCTCAGTTTTCCTAGCTGGGCTCCTCCTAGCTCAGTCTTCCTAGCTGACCTCCTCCTAGCTCAGTCTTCCTAGCTGACCTCCTCCTAACTCAGTCTTCCTAGCTGACCTCCTAGCTCAGTCTTCCTAGCTGACCTTCTAGCTCAGTTTTCCTAGCTGGGCTCCTCCTAGCTCAGTCTTCCTAGCTGACCTCCTCCTAGCTCAGTCTTCCTAGCTGACCTCCTAGCTCAGCCTTCCTAGCTGACCTCCTCCTAACTCAGTCTTCCTAGCTGACCTTCTAGCTCAGTTTTCCTAGCTGGGCTCCTCCTAGCTCAGTCTTCCTAGCTGACCTCCTCCTAGCTCAGTCTTCCTAGCTGACCTCCTCCTAGCTCAATCTTCCTAGCTGACCTCCTCCTAGCTCAGTCTTCCTAGCTGACTTCCTTCTAGCTCAGTCATCCTAGCTGACCTCCTCCTAGCTCAGTCTTCCTAGCTGACTTCCTCCTAGCTCAGTCTTCCTAGCTGATCTCCTCCTAGCTCAGTCTTCCTAGCTGACCTCCTCCTAGCTCAGTCTTCCTAGCTGACCTCCTCCTAGCTCAGTCTTCCTAGCTGACTTCCTCCTAGCTAAGTCTTCCTAGCTGACTTCCTCCTAGCTCAGTCTTCCTAGCTGATCTCCTCCTAGCTCAGTCTTCCTAGCTGACCTCCTCCTAGCTCAGTCTTCCTAGCTGACCTCCTCCTAGCTCAGTCTTCCTAGCTGACTTCCTCCTAGCTCAGTCTTCCTAGCTGGCCTCTCCACACAGCCTACAGACATGACTGGGGAAAAATGAATCAGGATCGATCCAAGGAAGCGCTCCATCTCCTTGAATCAAGAGCCCCTGACCGGCATGTAGGAACCTCCCTTGAAGGGGGGTAGGAGGGGTTCTAACTGAGGTTCTTCACAGCTGTGAAGGCTCGATCCTTCGCCCTTCCAGGTGGGACACGCCAGTGTGTCGTTACATTACGAGATGTCGTACCAGCTTACGACGCCAGCAGCTGCGTATCACATTTCCGTTATAACACAACTATCCCTTCCCCACATAGGAGAGAGAAACTCGTGGCGACGTGTCGGTCCGACTTGGACCACGAACAAGTCAGACTGACAAAGAAGGTGAGGGAGCCAGTGTATATTGGAGAGGACTGGGACGGGACCACGAGAGGAAGAAGCAAGTGGAGAAGTGGTGGTAGTGGTAATGCTGGTAGTGGTGGTAGTAGTAGTAGTAGTTGACGGGCTTCCTCTGCAATATTGCAAGCTCCTAATGATGTGTTGATTGCAACACGAAAGGCCTAGAGCTACCATTCAGCTTTCCCCGTTGATGTTTCGTGTATATATATATATATATATATATATATATATATATATATATATATATATATATATATATATTATATATATATATATATATATATATATATATATATATATATATATATATTTATATATAATATCGTGTGGCACATGGTGTTGCCTCAGTCTGTACTTAAAGCAGATGGCAGTATAGACGTGACACTCCAACACTAAGTGAAAACTGGGAAGGGTGGGGGGGTTAGAGTGGGGGGGAGGGAAGGGGAGGGGGAGTGAGAGATAGGTGGGTCGGGGGAGGGGTCAAGAGTGTGTAGAAGGAAGAAATGAGAGAAAGGAGAGAAGAAGCAGAAAGACAGAGAGAGTAGACACACAGATGAGCTACTACTACTACCATATTCTGCCACACCACCAACCACCATTTCACCACAAAACCTTTACCACCACATTATCACCACCACCATTATCACCCACTCACCAATTATTCCCCCCACCACCCCCAACATTCCACCGACCATTCACCACCACCATTCCCACACCACCATTCCACACCACCATTCCCACCCACCATCCCACGACCACCATTTCCACACCACCATTCCCACGCCACATTCCACGACACCATTCCACACCACCATCCCACCCACCATTCCCACCGACCACCATTCCCACGCACATTCCCACGACCACCATTCCATGCCACCATTCCCACGACCACCATTCCCACGACCACCATTCCCCACCACCATTCCCAACCACCATTCCCACCGCCACCATTCCCACGACCACCATTCCCCACCACCACCATCTCCCACCGACCACCATTCCCACGACCACCATTCCATGCCACCATTCCCACCGCCACCATTTCCACGACCACCATTCCCACCACCACATTCCCACCGCCACCATTCCCACGACCACCAATTCCCACGACCACCATTCCCACACCCACCATTCCACACCACCATTCCCACCACCACCATTCCCACGACCACCATTCCCACGACCACCATTCCCACCGACCACCATTCCCACCACCACCATTCCCACCACCACCATTCCCACCACCACCATTTCCCACCACCACCATTCCCACCACCACCATTCCCACCGCACCATTCCCACGACCACCATTCCCATGACCACCATTCCCACCGCCACCATTCCCACGACCACCATTCCCACCACCACCATTCCCACCGCCACCATTCCCACACCACCATTCCCATGACCACCATTCCCACCGCCACCATTCCCACGACCACCATTCCCACCACCACCATTCCCACCGCACCATTCCCACGACCACCATTCCCACGACCACCATTCCCACGACCACCATTCCCACGACCACCATTCCCACCACCACCATTCCCACCACCACCATTCCCACGACCACCATTCCCACGACCACCATTCCCACGACCACATTCCCACGACCACCATTCCCACGACCACCATTCCCACGACCACCATTCCACGACCACCATTCCCACGACCACCATTCCCACGACCACCATTCCCACACCACCATTCCCACGACCACCATTCCCACGACCACCATTCCCACCACCACCATTCCCACCGACCACCATTCCCACGACCAACCAAATTCCCACCACCACCATTCCCACGACCACCATTCCCACGACCACCATTCCCACCACCACCATTCCCACCACCACCATTCCCACGACCACCATTCCCACGACCACCATTCCCACGACCACCATTCCCACCGACCACCATTCCCACGCCACCATTCCCACGACCACCATTCCCACCGACCACCATTCCCACGACCACCATTCCCACGACCACCATTCCCACCACCACCATTCCCACGCCACCATTCCCACGACCACCATTCCCAGCCACCATTCCCACGACCACCATTCCACGACCACATTCCCACGCACCACCATTCCCACCGCCACCATTCCACGACCACCATTCCCACGACCACCATTCCCCCACCACCACCCAAATTCCCACGACCACCATTCCCACCACCACCATTCCACGACCACCATTCCCACGACCACCATTCCACACCACCATTCCCACGACCACCATTCCCACGACCACCATTCCCACGACCACCATTCCCACGACCACCATTCCACACCACACCACCATTCCCACGACCACCATTCCCACGACCACCATTCCACACACCATTCCCAACACCACCATTCCCACACCACCATTCCACGACCACCATTCCCACCACCACCATTCCACCACCACACCAACACCATTCCCACGACCACCATTCCCACCACCACCATTCCCACGACCACCATTCCCATGACCACCATTCCCACGACCACCATTCCCACCACCACCATTCCCACGACCACCATTCCCACGACCACCATTCCCAAGACCACCTTTCCCTCCCACCGCCACCATTCCCACGACCCATTCCATTCCCATGAACCACCAATTCCCACGACCACCATTCCACGACCACCATTCCCACGACCACCATTCCACACCCCGCCACCATTCCCACGACCACCATTCCCACGACCACCATTCCCACCACCAACCCATTCCCACGACCACCATTCCCACGACCACCATTCCCACGACCACCATTCCCACCGCCACCAATTCCCACGACCACCATTCCCACGACCACCATTCCCACGACCTCCATTCCCATGACCACCATTCCCACGACCACCATTCCCACGACCACCATTCCCACGACCACCATTCCCACGACCACCATTCCCACGACCACCATTCCCACGACCACCATTCCCAATACCACCATTCCCACGACCACCATTCCCACGACCACCATTCCCACGACCACCATTCCACCGCCACCATTCCCACGACCACCATTCCCATGACCACCATTCCCACGACCACCATTCGCACGACCCCACCATCCCACGACCAACCCATTCCCACCGCCACCATTCCCACGACCACCATTCCCACGACCACCATTCCCACACCACCATTCCCACCACCACCATTCCCACCACCACCATTCCCACGACCACCATTCCCACCGCCACCATTCCCACCACCACCATTCCCACCACCACCATTCCCACGACCACCATTCCCATGACACCATTCCCACGACCACCATTCCCACGCCCACCATTCCCACGACCACCATTCCCACGACCACCATTCCCACGACCACCATTCCCACGACCACCATTCCCACGACCACCATTCCCACGACCACCATTCCCAACGACCACCATTCCCACGACCACCATTCCCACCACCACCATTCCCACCACCACCATTCCCACCACCACCATTCCCACGACCACCATTCCCACGACCACCATTCCCACGACCACCATTCCCACCACCACCATTCCCACGACCACCATTCCCACGACCACCATTCCCATGACCACCATTCCCACGACCACCATTCCCACCGCCACCATTCCCACGACCACCATTCCCCACGACCACCAATTCCCATGACCACCATTCCCATGACCACCATTCCCACGACCACCATTCCCACGACCACCATTCCCACGACCACCATTCCCACGACC